CCAGGAGTTTGAGGTTGCTGTGAGCTAGGCTGACGCCACGGCACTCTAGCCCAGGCAACAGAGTGAGAGTCTGTCTCAAAAAAAACAAGAGACATATAAATGAAATAACCCAAATGTCTAAAACATAAAATATATAAATACATTGTGGTACTGTATATTCCTAGAGTGGAATACTATATGCAGTGAAAATAAACTATAGCTAAGTGCAACAACATGGATAAGTTTCTGAAATATAATATTGAGTAAAAAAAGGCCATAGAATGACATATTTGCTAATATTCTACTTACATAAAATGTGCAAACTTAAACAATATATTGATTAGAGATACACATGTGGTTAAACTATAAAGAAGCAAAAGAGACTAATAAACACATAATTCAAGAAAGTGGTAACCTAGGGCGAAAGGAAGGGTACAAGACAGGGGAGGGTACACAGAGAGCTTCAAAACTCTTGATACTGTTCTGTTTCATGCATTTGAATTGGTTTGTTTGGTTTTTGTACTTTAAATATACATCGTACATATTCATTTGGACATAATTAATAGTGAAAGTGTGTTTTTAATCCCTCATTATTAAGATCTGTCAATAATGCTTAAAACATAGGTCCCTCCCCTTGGCATGAAAACATTTTAAAATTTCTGCACAATTCAGCCCGGGTCAGCATCCTCCAAGAAGAGGAGACACTTGGCAGATTACTGGAGGAAGCGTGAGAGGGTGGAAGCCAGGCCTGTCACAGAGATTTTATCACTCGCTTGATTTATTGAAGGAAGATTTATGTTCTGTTTTCTTCTGTTTAAAATTGAGTAGGACATTTTATATTAATCTGAAGCTATTCGTAAACAACCCTCACTTGTGAAGGCCCTTAATGAACTTTTTCTATGGGTGCAGAGTCCTCAGCGGAAAAAAAGGTTCCTGTCAGCAAAACCCAGCACGCTCTCTGGAGGCGGAACCTCAGGCTAATATTTTCTGAAAAATGCTGTGCCTATAATGCCTTTCTGTCACCAGGTGGCAGCAAATAGTTCTGAAGAAAGCCACCAAGCCTAAGTATAGTACCCATATTGTATCAAGTGGCCAATTCTAGATGCCAGAAATTCTACATAATCTGATTAGTATTCAATGGCGTTTTAAGCTTTTGCTTGGGAAGGATTTTAGCTGTTGCTTAGGAGACATTTTATCAGAAGGAATCAATGGTCATTCAGATAAATGCAGTAATTAATGAAGATTATTTGGCAATTTTTTTTTTAACGATTCCATCTCCTAGTTAAAACCATTTCTTGAAATTATATTAAATTCTAAAGGACAGTTTTAAAATATTTTTACTCTTCAATCTTTGAAATGCTACATCTCCACTGAGAGGTCCTGCTAATTCTGTATTCAAGATGTGGAAAAGGTCCCTGAGTTGAGCTGATGCACAGTCCAGGGGTAAGGTCTGCGCCCATTCTTGAGGTGGGGAGCACTGGTGAGGCTCACAAGGCTAGGTCCTCAGATTCTTGTATCGGTGGCTCAAATCATACCCTGTGTGATTATTCATTGTTCAAAATAGGCAAAGCTTACATTGTGTTAATAATACACATGGATGCTGTTGATTGGCTGT